AATGCTAGGACTAAGGTAATGAAAGGGGGACATTTCTTGAACTAACCATAGAACAAAGAACTACAGTAAAGTAGAAAAAATTATTAAAGGTGCTGTGTGGAGTTTTTGGAGCATTATGGGGCATTTTTTAATGAGGGGTTTCCCATTTTGTTTTGTTTTGTTTACACATTCCTCACATCGGTTTCACGCTATTCTTTCGAGACAGTCGGTGGGAGTAACACGCAAAGAAGCGTAGCAATAGGCCATGAAAGGGAGTGAAGAAGACTGTAAGCTATCAAACATGAATGTAAACAATGCAGGATTAAAAAATAAATAAATCAGCTTGGCAAATATTTATAACATGTTTGTTAGACCTCACAGATACATATATTGAGTTTTGATGAGAAACACTGAATGTAAACATAACTTTTGTTTGTTTTAAAGAAAACTCCACAGAAAACCTCTGAACTTTTACCAATTAATATTTTTATAATGGGTTCATTGGTAGATTTTTTCAGGATGAATAGTTTTGTCTATAAAATATCTTTAAAAAATATAATGGGTGTTGTTTGCTTTGACCAACCAATAATCCAAATCCCAGATATTTAATGTAAAATGATCCAAAACAGAGAAAAGCTGCTGGACCCAGTAAATGTACAGCATTTTTTCATGACAAATGACTTGATAATTAATTAATCATTGAGGTTTCCACTGTCTGACTATTCAATTAGAGTCTTTTTCTAACCCAGAAAGCTTCATAACAGGAAAGAAATATGATGTCTTAATAAATCAAAGCTGGAAAAAACTGTGCAAGGCGCAAGCACTCTTTCTCCAGGGAGCCTCCATCTCTTTGCAGATTAGGAAAAAAAACAGAAAACAAAAAAGTGAGTCCCGACTCTGATTCTAATCAATATGCACTTGCTGGGTAAAGCACACGACGGATACGCTAATGCACCCAGATGAGCAGTGATAGTCATGAAATATTAATAGTTCTTTGTTTTCAAAATAGTTTCAGTTTCCCTGGATTTCGATCAACGTATCAGGAAAGAAGTTGGATGAAAAAGAAAGTAGGTTAAAGATGGAGGGGGAAACTGCTGAGAGGGGTAAAATATCTGCACACAGGGATTCTCCTCTTCAACTCACTGCACTGATGACCCCATTAAGCCTGGCTCGGCTGTCAGGGCTGTCAGGTGGAAGTCGCCTTTAAGTCGGCCTGACAGCCAGAACCCACAATAATGGGCTCATCAGCAACCCGTTCCTCCATTCTCTCTTTCTCAACTTTGTCTGCTGGCACGGGCAGGCAGAGGTGGCCTAGGTGAATCAGATTTTAAGACAAACTATACTATATCCTCATATCAGGTTAGGAAGGAATGGAGTCAAAGAAAGAGGGTATGTCGGTAATGTGTGCATTATCAATGAACATTAACAATGAAATCAATATCCAGATAAGACTGTGTGAGGTTAATACAGACTGCATACAGGCTTTTATTTTTAAAGGATTTAAGGTAAAATGGAAAACAACTGGATACAATGTACTGTATTTCACATTGTATTAAAAAAGTAGATGAAGTAGAAAAAAAGATAAGAACCCTACTTCCTTCAGATAACTAGTGACATCAAAGAAGTTGTTATCTTATCAGGGAAGATCCTGTAATCAGGGCTGTGTTTCTCCAGCATAACAAAGTTATCTCTAGAACT